AAATCGGACTAAAATTGAGGCCGCTTTTCATATAACGGTAAATTTCAGAAATGCTTGAAATTTCAATATTTCGAAATTTAAGGACGCTAATTTACTTAAAATGTATACACCCCGGCTTATCATGTAGCGGTAGCTTTCGGAAAGGAGGAAAACATATATTTAATACTTGCGCCGGGTATTTAATGTTCGGCTCCGCCCGAAACTTAGACTTTCTTACTTGTTTATTTTGTGTTTCTAGCAGTATACGGAATTTCGCAACGTTCCGAATAAATAAAAGATTTGCCGTACGTTTCAAAGGCAGTTAAAAAATCAAATCTCGTGTATATATAAGTGAGTCATTTCAGCATGCTACTGTGGCTATTTTCGTCACTCGCGCGCACTGCCATACGCTGTGATTAAAAATCTATAATTTCCTTGTAGAAGTGTTGACTAAAATTTATCTTCATGCTATTCTATTTCGATTAATACTTAGAAAAGTTCCATTCCACTGCGCGCAAGCAAATGGAAAATGGGCAAGTAAGTCAATTGTTTCCGCAATGTACGCGGGAGCACACAAACTATGCCGGACAGTAATTCGAGCTAGTGGTGGAAAACTATCGATAGTATCGATGGGACATCACAGTCGCAATTATCGATGGCGACCACTATCGACCATATTTGAAGTTGGATACTATCGAGGAATTGCCATATCTATGTATGATTTTTATATACCATATCTATCTTGAAACGCATTTATGTGAATATTTTTATAATGCTCGTGCGGATAGTGTAACGAAATATGGACAAATATCTAACTCACAAAAGGTAACGTGTTTGTTATAGATATGTTTATATTGTATGTGTTTCATTATATGTATGTAATGACTTTTACAGAAAACAATGCAAATGTAGAATGCTTGTGTTCCTCCGAAAGTGAAGAAGAAAGTGGCGGAAAAAGAGCAAAACCCAAAATATCTTCGTTATAGTAATTCTATATTCTTTACATAAAACATTATTAACATACTTTTGTGTTGTATATTTGTGTGTTTGTGTTGTTGTTTGGTATTAAATTTTATAGTCCATCAAATTTTAGTATAATAAACAGTCACGCATTTTCTTCTATCGTTTTTATATAGAAGAAAATGCGTGATATTTTTAGCACAAAATTTACAAAAAATCAACGAAATTCTTTAGCAACTTGAAACCTGCAATTTATTAAATTATTTATTATTTAAATAGATGAATTCATACAACCTTCAAACGTAATTTTTACATGTCTTTTCGATGCATTCAAATATAAAAAAAATAATCAGCCACACTATCGAGACTATCGACGGCAGCGCACTATCGAGACTATCGATGGCTATCGGAAAAAATGACTATCGGCACAATCGATAGTGACCCAAAAAACGATCATCAACTATCGATGGTGTCCACTATCGATAGCTTGCGACCACTAATTCGAGCTCCAATAAGTTCAGACAGTGTACTCTTTTTGAGGCGGCCACGGTAGAAAAGGAAAACCAAAACGTTGATAAAATTATAAATTTTGAAATGTAGTGGAAAAACGTACATTTATATGCACGGGAAAATACACACTCTTTCAAAAACGATTGGATCTAGGTTAAAGAATTAAAAAATTAATTAGAAGAAAATCCTTTTTCTCAACATTCGCAACTTTTCAGAAAAATGTTGCGAAAAAATGATTCGTAACCCAAGTTTTCATGGTCAATTCAAATATCTGAAATTGCAAATTTTAACAGTTTGTAAAGTGTTTTTAGTTCATTGTCTAGTGTCATATACGTGTTATAACTGCCACATAAATAAATTCTTAATACATATGTTCCCCTTATTTTGGTTTTATACGTTTTTTCAGCACTTAAATTTATAAATTCGTTGCTTTTATTAAAATTGCGGAAAATGTAAAAACAACTTTACGTCAATGAATGCTCAAGTAAAAAAAATTAGCTCCTCATTTTAGCTATTATTACTAGTGTTTAGCTCTTTTTGGCTCTTTGTTTCGACCGTTTCAGCTCCAAACGAAATTTTTTTCTAGCAACACTGCTTACAATCCAAGAGCTGGTGTGAAAAAGTGCAAGAGTTTGTTCTTATGTTGCGCTGCATAAAAGTGTTGGAAATATACACAGAGCTTGCGTACCGGGACACCTGGCGCTGGGACGCTTGCTCATGAACTGTGTTGCCAGGACCTCAAAATAAAAGAAGCTAGATCGGCCAAATAAAAAAGTTAAAAAAAGCTAAATGGTCCAAAATGAAAGGTTAAAAAGGCCAGCCTTTTCAACATTTCATTAACTCTGATGTACAAAAAGGTGATACAAATGCACCACCGACCAACAAAAATGTCAATACATCGACAATAAAAGTACTTGCGATCATGAAATTCGTGAAATTTTTCTAATATAACCACTTTAATAATAAAGGGAACTCTTTTTTAAGTTCTGAAAAACCATAGTCCTTCAAAGCAAAGTAGTAGTATATTTGTACCATCAAATATCTTCATACATATATTACAATACGATTACAATCGTGAATGTTTCAATTAGAGCGCGCATAGTGAAGAGCTAACCGTATATACACGCAAATGAAGCAGACTAAACGGCGAAATCGATTTCTACGTGACAAACTGTTTAACTAGACATGGGTGCTTCAAAGCATACCTTCAGCGATTCGATCACGAACCAGAACCCATATGCGACTACTGCGGAGGAGATGTAATAGAAGACGTCTTTTTTGAGTGTATGCGATTTGTCAGTACCAGATGCAAACTTCGCAACATATCTGGCGAGAGTTTCACGCCTGAGTCACTCGTGGAAGCTATGCTATAAAGCAGCAGAGGCGGTGAAGGGGCTAAGGACGCTTGACTGGCTACGGCATAGCAGCGGCCACTAACTACCATTCTCCCTCACGATATAGTGCTTGACGTCATTCCCGTGGGGTGCTGGGGTGCGGAGTTCTATGAAATAAGAAATGGTTTTATAGGGACACTTGAGAGCTCCTGAAAAAACTGTTATAGTATAAACAGAACGGGTTCGCTGAGTAAATTTCGTCGGAGGGAGCGATGGCGGTGGGCGATATTCGCCTAACATTTCGTCAAGTAAAACTGAACCGGAGCAATAATTTATTGCTACTACAAATATTGTGGAAGATTGTCCTTAAAAAAATGCTAGTTTGAAAATAAGAAAGGGCTAGAAGAAAGCCACGAAGCTAAATCCTAAATTTCGAAGCTAAACGACAAAGAAAAAAGCTAGATCTAGCCTCAAAAAGGCTAAATTGGCAGCACTGCTCATGAATGCTATAACACAAGATGCTCCAATCGAGCTAAGAACAACCGGGTATAAAATACACAGCGGCGCAAACGCACATTACGTGATCAAATATTCCTTCAACACTTCGAAGGTGGTATATCGGAATGAATCGATTAAAACCCAGATTACTTTGCAATAAGCAGAAAATCAAGGCGTATCAATTACTGGTGGTAGCCAGTGATCGGACTACAAAAAAATTCAGTGTGGCTGAATCTGGAAAAAAGTGTGGTAGATTTCAAAAAAATGAG